ACCTACTTAAAGCTAATGGGGGTTAAGGGGTGTAATGGAAGCACATGGTGGAGGCACTAATGTAAGTGAGGCCCAGGAAGGCTCCCTAGCCAGGCTTGTCTTCTGAGGTGCCTCTGGGTGGGTTCAAACCTCCAATATTTTGGCTAGTAGTCGAGCGCTTAACCATTTGCACCACGCAAGACTCCTTCCAGTGTAGTAGGGGGAGTAAAGAGGGAGATGATTAGGAGGTTGATGTTAGAGAGTGGGTTATCAAAGTTTGGTTTGAGCAATGGAAAATTCTGTGTGACATGGTTCAGGGTGACCATGTGAGTAAGTTGCTGAAGTGGAATGGAGGGGAGGGCTGTTGGATTTTAGGAGATCAAGCAAACCCTGAGTTGGTGAGTCATCCTCAGGGATGTTTAGTCACTTAGAATCTGGCAGAAGTTGAAGTAGAACTGTGAGCCCTGGGGCAGCTCACCCCAAATGCAACAGTCTGCCATGATTTATATTCATTCTCCCCTGATCTGACAGACTAACTCATCTTATTACCCCAAAGCATTCTGCTACTTGGTTGAGCTTTCTAAAAATCATTTTCATTCTGTCAGTTCTGTACTTAGGAACCTTCAGTGATTCTGTGTGCCATCAGATGAAACTCCCCAAATTCCAGACTAGCATTTAAGGACCTCTCTCTATCTGCAATATCAGTCTACCTGTTATGGTCTCTTTACTGGTACCCCTTGTGACTCCTGTCAGACCAGGTACTTTCTCCTCCATCGGATAAGTCTTCCTTTGCTTTGACTCATGCTCACCTCCCAGCATGAAACATACTTCCTCTCTGAGGCCAACCCAGAGCATTCTTTTAAAGCTCAGCTTGAGATGCCTCTCTTAGTGAACAACCCCCTCATCCACCTGAACTACTTAATCCCATCCTCTAATACTCTTTCCCTTGAAATTATTTCAGCGTTTATATGTACTGATACAACATCAAGCATTTGCTTTTACACAGAATGATTAAAAATGAATTGGACACTTTCAAAGATATATTATTCAGAAGACTTTGGTAGATGCACGTGCAGTGTGCACACAGGTATGTCAAGAAATTTGTGTTTCTTTGTGGCTTTCAAGAAATGAAGGAGTTCACTGTGGCTGCATTTCTGCCATCCATGGTTGTCTTAGTTACCTAGTGCTGCTGTAACAAAAAATACCACAAGTTGGCTACTTTAAAGAACAGGAATGATTGTCTCACAGTTTGGGAGGCTGGAAGTCCAAATCAGGGCATGAGCTCAAGGAGAGGGTCCTTCCTTGTCAGTAGCCTGGGTGTTCCTCGGCGTTCCTGGCTTGTACAGAGATCTTCACAGTGTCTGTCTTCTCCCTGAGTGTGTGTCACTGTGTCTATTCTGCTCTTTTTATAAGACACTGCTCAGAAAGGACCTGTTGTACTTATTAACATAATAAAAGAAAACCCCTATTTCCAAACAGGGTCGTAGAATTGCCCCATAGGTTCCCAAGGAGTGACTGGTGGATTCAAACTGCCGACCTTTTGGTTAGTAGTCAAGCTCTTAACCACTGCGCCACCAGGGCCCCGTCACAGGTACAGGGGTTAGGATTTCAACATATGTTTTAGGGGACACAATTCTATTCATAACAACGGTGATAGGCTACAAAAGACTGGGGCACACTTTGGGATTGACATGCCATGGGACATGGGAGCACTTTTAAGATCATGGAGTAACTGAATAGTTCCTTTATAGATTATATCATTGTGCATAACCTAGTTACTGAGTGATAACCTTTTGAAGGTGTTCAGTTCTTTTTGAATCCCCCTGTATTTTCTTAGAATTGTTCTGTAGTTTTTTCTTATGCGCATGGCCTACGGAACCAAAAGAAAAGTGAACTCCTTGAGACCAGAAGCTTTTACCTTTGTGTTCACCTTAATCCCACCACAGTGCTAACAGAGTAGCCTCCATCAGGGCTTGTTGAAAGAATGAGTTCTATGAAAACACAATGTTTGTTTTACTGAAGTATAATTTAAGATAGACCTATCACTTACATACTTATTTTGGGGGAAAAAATGGTAAGGATGTGATATTTTAAAACGAAGAAATTCAGAGATTATTTCTAATCTTTAGCAGAATCTAGTATTTATTTTTTCAAAATCTTGAAAATGTCAGTGATACCCCAAACACTTGCTTTGTTAGAACCAAGCAAACAGCTCTTTATTCCCTTGTTTGTCAGCTCCAGACTCTACTCCTTTTGTCAGTATCAAGCTCAGGCTTCCTTCTCCCACACTCTCTGCCTTCCTGTTGAAGAACCTGTACACATTCCAGCTCAGATGGGATGACACATCATATAGAGTTATTTCTTTCACTCATAGCCTGAGGAATTAAGTAAAGTCTACAGTCCTGTTTTTGTTGTTTATTTTTTGTTTGTGGCTGTTAGCTTAAAAAATTAAAGTTGATCACTTTATTTGTAGATTATTTAAATATGTGTGTATATACGCACAAACACATAACAAAAGTATGTGAAATTTGTCTTGCTATCTTAGAATTTCAGATCCTAAAGAGAAGGATTGTTATGACTATCTGATAAATGATACATATGACCAAGATGAATTTGGGCACATCTGAGGCTGTGAATAATAATGTGAGAAAAACCTCAGTCTGTCCAGTGACCACATAAGGGGTGTGTGGTATTTTTTTGACGATCCCCAGTTAAATCACATCTTCTTCTGGTTCCTGTCTTTTCCTGTATATTCTATTTTTACATTTTTCTCAAATCACCCTTTGACTTTTCAACTCTATTCACCTACTTCTGTCTAATTTAAACTTAATATATGAAACCCATGAGAATTTAGAAAGTAAACCCATGGCAAGTTTTGGCAGAGGTACTACCAGTCTTTCCACGAAGGGCAAGAGGGAAAGTCATTTTCACTGTAAGTCATATATCCATATAAACTACAAGAAGTGCAGTTTTCTTTTAATAAAGTCTTCCATTTATCCATTCTTTCGGCAAACATGTATTGGGCATCTGTTATGCCAAGGACTGTTCTACGCGCTGGGGATTCACTAGAGAAGAAGATAATCTGTCTCCTCAAGGAACTTATGTTCTACTGGAGGAGACAATAAACAATGAAATAAGCAAGTTCTGTGGTGTGTTACAAGGTGGTAAGTGCTACTGACAAAGTCAGAGCAGAGAATGGGCATAGGGAGAGCCAGAACGAGGGTGATCACAATCTCTATAGAGTGGTCAGAGAAGGCTTCACTGAGCAGGTGACATTTGAACAACGACTGGAAGGAGGTGAGGGAAAGAAAGAGGAGGTGGATATCTGGGGTAGGCAGAGGGGATGGCAGTGCAAAGGCCCTGAGGTGGGAATGTGCTTGGCATATTTGAGGAGCAATGAGCAAGTGTGGCTGGAGTAGAGTGGACAGAGGGAAGAGTGCCAGGTGAGGAACTTGAGTTCACAAAAGGCCTGATGGTACAGGATCTTGAAGCACATTGTGAGGACTTCGGCTTTTATTCTGAGTGAGATAGGGAGCCACTGAGGGATTTTGAGAGGAATTATGATATAATATGAGTTTAATTTTAAAGGAGTTACTCTGGCTACTGTCGTGAAGGGCTTTGCAGAAAACCTGTCAGAAAATCGTGGTGTGGTGGACCAGTATGATAGCAACAGAGGTGATGAGAAAGGCTCAAATTCAAGATAAAGTCAACAGATTTCCTGACAGAATTTGTGTGTGTATGTGTGTGTGGGTGTGTGTGTGTGTGTTTAGAGTCAAGAAGGACTCCAAAGGTTCAAGGTTTTCATCCTGAGGAATTGAAAGAATACAGTGTCACTACCTGAGTTGGAAGACTGGAGGGCACAGCAGGAGTGACGGAAAGTAAGTTTGTGAGGAGAAGGGAAAGTCAGGAGTTCAGTGGTAAGATAACTTCTTTTGTACTGTGCAGGTAAACCAAAATGCCAAGACAGTTTGCCACCTCCCTCAATCCCTTCCCCATTCCCGTGATTTCGGCTATATTTTTAATAGACTCTCAATGTTGAGTTAAAACATTCTGATGACTACAGTCCCGTGACTCTGTTTATCCCGATTTTATTCACTGTACTTTGACTGGGCAGTGTTTCGTTCTCTTGCACATGGGGTCACTATGAGTCCAAACCAACTCAGTGGCACCTAACAACATAACAACATACTTTGCCTGATATATGATGGGAAGTTCTTGCATAGATACTAATTTGAGGAAATGTAGTCACTCTGCCCCTGGTTTATATTCACATTAAAGTCCTGTTGTTGTTGTTGTTAGGTGCTGTTGAGTTGGTTCCGACTGATAGCAACCCTATAAGACAGAGTAGAACTGCCCCATAGGGTTTCCAAGGAACAGCTGGTTGATTTGAACTGCCGACCTGTTGGTTAGCAGATGAGCTCTTAACCACTCTGCCACCAGCGCTCCCATGAAAGTCCTAGTGGCATAGAAACTAATAAAATGTTACATTTTATTTAAAATAAAATATCCAGATTCCAGGATCCCATTACTAATGCTCTAAACAAAAGTTATCTTAAAGTTTAAATAACCTTTCGTGCAAACAGAAACATTTGTAAGTACCTGTTAAAATTTGGTAAAATACTGCAATTTATTTCATGTTATATATCAATACCATTTGCCATTGAGTTGATTCGGACTCATAGCGACCCTATAGGACAGAGTAGAATGGCCTTGTAGGGTTTCCAAGACTGTAATCTTTACAGGTCGCCAGGTCTTTCTCCATGGAGCTGCTGGTGGGTCCTACGGTTAGCAGCTGAACAGTTAACCACTGTGCCACCAGAGCTCCTTATTGTGTATCAATAATGGCAAAAAAAATTATTTGGGTTGTGGGATATTTAAATCTTAGAATTCCTTCAAAAATGGAAAAATGGTGTATCTTAGTTGATAGAAAATCAGATTCTTGAATAGGAGAGAAATTCTGTAACTCTGAACAAAGAGCTTGTCATCTTAATAGATTTTTTTTTTTCCTGTTATATTGGAAGAGAGTGGAGAAAGCCTCAGAACTGGCGGTTTCAAAAGCATTTTCTGCTGGAAATTCAGTTTTATCCAGAAGGCTTCAGGGCCAAATCATAGATTTGGAAACATCTGAGCAAATAGAGGATCATGATGAAACCTATGCAGAAGGTAAGGAAATACTTTTTTTTTTTTTTTCATGCTGCAGTGTTAACAATTCTTTGGAGTACAATTCATTAAAGCGTAACCCATAACATTTCAAAGTATAGAACAGAAGCTTTTCTTTTTCTCTTCTTTAATTTTGGTTTCTTTCCATTGCTTTGAAACTAATTTACTCCGGAGTTGACTCTGGTATTACAAGTTAGGATATATTTAAAGCCCATTTTGCTTCCTGAAATAGAACCACATCCAGAGACAGTCTGACATAATTAACTGGTAAGTGTTATAAGGGAATAGTCCTGTGGCACAAGTGTTAGCATGTTAGTATTATACAGATAATTTGACCATTAGTTTCAACTACCTGATTCACTTTGTTTTCTATTTTATATATCATCCATCCCTATCTAGAAACCCTTTTCCCTAAGAGCTATTTGATAATAACAATAACAATGATGAAGATAATCTAGACATTTTCTTCTTGAAATCCCACGCCTTACATATCAGAGTTGTTTAATGATGAAGGTAATGCTAAAGCAGAAGTTCTTTGTATACCAATATATTCGAAGGAAATTTTCTGAATAGCACTAGGAAAGAAATCCCAACAGGAGTTGACTTTCAGTATATCACACTCTTTGATTTTCCTCCTACCTCTGGGCACTCCTTGGTCTGCTTTGCTGGTTCCTCCTAATCTCTTCAACCCTAAATACCAGAATTCCTCAAAGCTCAGTCTTCTCTAACAACCTTCCTCTTTTGGTAAACTCACCCACTTCTCTGGCTTTAAATATTGTCTGTATGCTGATAATTCCAACACTCATTTTTTCAGCTTGGCCCTCTCGGGAAATTCCGACTGGTATAGCCAGTACTTATTTGACATCACTATTTGGGTGTCTGATAAGTATCTCAAACATAACATGTCTAAAACTGAACTCCTCATCTTCCCCTCCCACCAAACCTTTTTCTTGGCTTTCTTCATCTCAGTAAATGGCAACTCCAGCCTGACAGTTGCTTAGGCAAAAACTTTCTTTCACATCCCATATCAAGTCCATCAGCAAATCATGTCAACTTCACCTCAAAATGTTATCTAGAATATGACCAGCTCTCAACACCTCCACTCTAGTGCAGGCTACCACCACCTCCCTTCTGGGTTATTGCCTTTGTCTCCCAATTAGTGCCCCCTGCTTTTGCGTCTGTCCTCCTGTAGTTTATTTCATCATAGCAGCCAGAGTGATCTTAAAATGTAAGTCACTTCTTCACTTAAAACCATCTTGAGGCTTCCCATTGCACTCAGAGTAAAAGCCAAAGTACCTAGAATGGCCTTAAGACCCTAAGCCAGGGTTTTTCAGCCTCGGAAATATTGACACGTTGGGCCAGATAGTTCTTTGTCGTGGGGGCTGTCCTGTTTAGCAGCATCCCTGTCTTCTACCCATTAGATACCAGTAGCACCCCATACCCCAGTTTTCACAACCAAAAATGTCTCCAGACATTACCAGATGTCCCCTGGGAGACCAGATCACCCCTGGTTGAGAGCCACTGCTCTAAACACCCTGGTTGACCCCCGTTACCTCTTTCACGCCACTCCTACTACTCTCCCCCTCACTCACACATCTTCAGACACACTGCCTCTTTGGGATCTTTGCACTTGCTTTCCCTCTGAATGAAATACTATTCCCTCACCTATCCATATGGCTCACTCCCTCACCACCTTCCTTTCTTTGCACACATACCTTCTTTTCAGTGAGGACTTCTTTGACCACCCCATTTAAAACTGTAACACTTGTCTTCCATTTCTTATATTCCATATCTCCTTCCCCTGCTTTGTTTTTCTCTGAATTAATTTATTGTTTGTCTTCCCCAGTTAGATTGTAAGTTTCATGGTAGCAGGGTTTTTTGTTTTTTTTCCCTGGTTTGTACACTACTATATTCCCAGTACTAAAACAGTACTTGACACATGATAAGTTCTCAATTAACATTTATTGAATGAATGAAAGCAGTGAATGAAGAAAGTCTCTGTTATGGATTTAATTGTGTGCCCCCCCAAAAAAAATGTGTGTCCACTTGGCTAGGCCATGATTCCCAGTGTTGTGTGATTGTCCACCATTTTGTCATCTGATGTGATTTTCCTATGTGTTGTAAATCCTAACTCTATGATGTTAATGAGGTGGGATTAGTGACAGTTACGTTAATGAGGCAGGACTCAATCTACAAGATAAGGTTGTGTTTTAAGCCAATCTCTCTTGGGATATAAAAGAGAGAAGCGAGCAGAGAGTCGTGGGGACCTCATACCACCAAGAAGTCTATGAGCCAGGAGACTAGCGCATCCTTTTGATGCAGGATCCCTGTGCTGAAGAAGCTCCTAGTCTAGGGGAAGATTGATGACAAAGGACCTTCCTCCAGAGCCAACAGAAAGCCTTCCCCTGGAGCTGATGCCCTGAATTTGGATTTCTAGACTACTAGACCATGAGAGAATAAACTTCTGTTTGTTGAAGCCATCCACTTGTGGTATTTCTGTTATAGCAGCACTACATAACTAAGACAGTCTCCAAAGTAATTCAAATATTAAAAAGATATTTTTGTTTTATTGATAGCTCAGGAGCTGGTCAGTGATTGGTTAGACACCAAACTTAAGCAGGAACTAGCAAGTGATGGAGAAGGTGATGCTGAAGACACTGTGTCGACTGTTACTTCTATGCCAGCAGACAAGTTTGATGGTAAGAACTTACCTGATTATTCTGTGAACATCTGATGAACATATTTAAGAAGTGTTTTTAATTGTTTTGAATAATAAATGTTATTTAACTTTTCTGTGCTTTGCTTAGTTTTATCATTGGCTTTATTTTTTCTTGATAGAATATAAATATCTTCAGTAAATTGATAGTGCTTTTTAAATTAAAATGTTCTGTTATTTTTAACTCTTCTTATAATAGCAATTAATTTTGCATAAGAGGGTGTCTTCCCCATGTATTATTGGATTGCTATTTACTTTGATGGCGACTATATTTAAGCTTTTGTGTATCATTTTATATTTCAAAATGCTTCATATATTATTATTAGTTATTAAGAAAGGTTATTACTTTTCTAGTATTTTTTGTTTTCAGGAAAAAAACCACTGTTGTGTGCAGACTTGGTGTCAGGCAGGTTAAATGGCTATCTTGTGAGAGTTCCTCAAAAGCATCCAGGGATCTGGGTTTTTCTCCGAGTATAGGAGTAGGGTGGCAGCTCCCTACATACTACTCAAACATACTTGGTGAGGCTGCCTGGAAAGATTCCCCTGGTTTGGGGCTCTACAGAATCCCCAGCTGGGGGATCACAAACTCATAAGCTCTTCAGGTTAGATAAGCCCTTCAAGGTCACCTACTCTGATCTACCCTACTCACTCCCGAGGAGAGACATGGTTCTACACTGTTCTTAAAGTGGGTAATGTAGTCTCCCCCCGAACACCTCCTGGGAAAGGAAGCCTACTACTTTAGGGGAGCCCATTCAGCTGTTGCAAAGCTCTGGTCTTCATAGACCCTTTCTTAATTAAACCAAAACCAAACCAAACTCGTTGCCGTCGAGTTAATTCTGACTCATAGTGAACCTGTAGGACAGAGTAGAACTGCCCCATAGGGTTTCCAAGGAATGGCTGGTGGATTCGAACTGCCAGCCTTTTGGTTAGCAGCCAAGCTCCTGACCATTGTGCCACCAGGGCTCCTTCCTTAATTAGGAGAATTAAAATTTTGTCCTTGGTAACTCTTACCCTTAGGTATAATAGAAAATATCTTTTAAAAAATATATATTTTATTATATTTTTGGTAAAGATTTACACAGCACTTTAGGTTCCCATTCAACAGTCTCTACACAGGTTGTTCTGTGACATTGGTTACATTCTTCATAAAGTATAAACATTCTTGTTATTTCTGTTCTGATTGTTCCATTTCCATTGATCTTGTTTCCTTGCCCCCTTACATTCTCATCTTTGTTTTAAAGTAATTGTTGACCATTTGGTCTCATATAATAGTGATTTTTTAAAAGAGCACAGTACTTACAGGTGATATTCATTATTTTTTGAGCCACAATAGAAAATATCTTGGTCCCTCCCTCAAGAACCGTGTTTTTACTTTTTGATGGAGTTGTAATCATATCTGATCCCTCATATACCTTGATGTTTCCAGATTAAATAGCACCAGTACTCTCAACAGTTCTTTATGTCACATGGTTTCTAGTTTTCTCATCATTCTTCTAGGTTTTTCTACTTTGTTAATGTCATTATTAAGTGGGGGAGGGCTCTAATCCTTTGTGTTCTGAAGCATGTACATGGAATAAGTAACATTGTTACTTCCTTTTATATGGTGCTAGTAGATCTAGTTATATACCTATACTTAGTTTGGCTATTGTCATCTTATGCTCACTCATCTTACGCTCACTCATCTTACACTTGTGTAGTTGTCTTTTTATTTATTTATTCTTTTTTTTTTTTATTGTAGTACAAGTGAAAGTTTACAATTGAAGTAAGTCTCTCATACAAAAGCTTATACATACATTGGTAGGTGACCCTAATTGCTCTCTCTATACTGTGACAGCACACTCCTCCTTTCCACCCCTGATTTCTCATGTCCACTCAATCAGCTCCTAACCCTCTCTGCCTTCTCATCTCACCTCTGGACAGAAGCTGCCCATTTAGTCTCATGTGTCTACTTGAGCTAAGAAGCACACTCTTCACGAGTATCATTTCATATGCCACAGTCCAGTCCGATCTTTGTCTGAAGAGTTGGCTTCAGAAATTGTTTCAGTTCTGGGTTGACAGAGAGTCAACGTGAGAGCACGGCCCCCGGAGTTCCTCTAGTCTCAGTCAGACAATTGAGTCTGGTCTTTTTATTAGAATTTGAGTTCGCATCCCATGCTTCCCCCGCTCCATCAGAGACTCTCTGTTGTGTTCCCTGTCAGAGCAGTCATTGGTGGTAGCTGGGCACCATCCAGTTCGTCTGGTCTCAGGCTGATGAAGTTTCTGGTCTGTGTGGAGCTTTCTGTCTCTTGGGCTAATACTTCCCTTGTGTCTTTGGTGTTCTTCATTCTCCTTTACTCCAAGTGGTTGGGATCAACTGATGCATCTAGATGGCCACTTGCTAGCTTTTAAGACCCCAGACGTCACTCACCAAAGTAGGATGCAGAACATTTTCTTAATACACTTTGTTATGACAGTTGACCTAGATATCCCCTGAAAGCATGGTCCCCAGGCCCCCACCCCTGCTACTCTGTCCCTCAAAGTGTTTGATTGTGTTCAGGAAACTTCTTAGCTTTGGTTTAGTCCAGTTGTGCTGGCTTCCCTGTAGTGTGTGCTGTCCTTCCCCTCACCTAAGATAATTCTTATCTACTACCTAGTTAGTGAATACCCCTCTCCCTCCCTCTTCGCGCTTATAACCATCAAAGAATGTTTTCTTCTGTGTTTATACCTTTTCTTGAGTTCTTATAATAGTGGTCTTACACAATATTTGTCCTTCTGTGACTTACTAAATTCACTCAGCATAATGCCCTAC